CCTGGCCGCTCTCATTGTCTTTCGTGGGTATATGGTGATTAAATCTGTCTGGCCTGCTCATGACTTTCTCAACTCTCGTGTGCTGCCGATTTCTCCTCACTTTTTCATTCGTTAGGGTCAAATATCGAGGACTGCTATCCAAAGAAAAAGAGTTGTCCCGTTCATATTCCACAAACAACTAGCCTTCTTGAATACTCTCACCTTTACAGGCACGCTATTTCATTGAGGGCATGGGTGGGTTATGCCAGGGGAAGCTGCTACTGAACATATCGTTGGTAACCCAATAGACAAGTTCCAAAGAGAGCCACAAAGTTTTCTTCAGCCATGGCCATAAATTTAGATCATGCTTGTTTTAATTTCGATGTGTAGTCCTACACGACATTGTAACAAAACTATTTCTTCTTATGTTCATAAAAATCCAGAAGGACGTGATCTCTAGTGTGATCATAAAAATCTTTGAAAAGGTTTCCAAGTGAAAACTTCAGAACGGAACCAATGCTAAGGCAAAGTCCTCGAGATTCCGTCGGTTATGGCGAGCAAGTGCCGGTCGCCTGATTAAATCCAAGCACTTGGTGGGTTGGTATCTTAATTTTTTTCTAGTCGATTTTATTCTGTGTGCTTTATATTCTACTCTGATCTGTTGCACTTCTTGGTTTCCTTGTAGTAGCTGAGAGGTGATTGTAAAAGACACCGTCTCATAGTGGTGTCCTTTGCAACGGATTTGTGCAAAATTGCAGAGCGGCGAAGTACACATAGCAGGATTCTTTGTGAAGTTTCCTAGGGAGTTAAACGAACCGACGACTTCAAATGGAATGAAGAAGACCATGATTGACGTCGAGTGTTCCCTCCCTCTTCTCTCATTTTCGAGTCCTTCTGAATAACTTGCATTGTGCTGTAGCGAAGTGAAATGACACACCATCCTCAGGGATCCACCATTATTTTTGGGGCGGTTAAAATCTCTTTTCTAGACGAGCCCTTATTTCAGACAGCACCTCCTACGAACGGGACTGCTGTTGCTTTGAAGAAACCATCGATAACTCGCGATGATCCCGAGGTAATCTCAGTTGGAGAGTGGACAGCCACGGAAGGTACTTCCAGCTGGCATCTTGTGATTCTATTGAATACCATTCAGGAACCAGCTTTCAAAAAATTCCATCCGAACAAATTGGAGACGTGCAAAATTATTGTGGTTGGTCCCGACATGGAAAAGTTTTCAATGTATGACATCTTCCACGATATTTCACTACAACATTATATGCCATTAGAATGTGTAACAAAGACTTTTGTGAAGCACTTCCATACCAAGGTGATTTTTGCCACCATTCTTACATAGGCTAGTTCTGTCAGTAATGCCAAATCAATGCCTTTATTCAGCTTAGTGAAGACGAAATCATTTCACTACCGAACTCGCAGTTTTCAGGAGTGTTTCCGATACTTATTGAACAAATAGCTTGTAAGTTGGCTGATATGAAGTTTTTTTCAGAAACATTATGAAATTGATAAGGTATGTACTTCAAAATGGAGGTGGTGGAGTAGGGGCAAGTGGCGCACTATCACATGGGCATGGTCAAGGGATCCAATCCCGGATCGAAACTTACCTTGGATATCGAAGCCTTTCATCCCACTGGGATCTGTTAATTGCTACTAAACTCCTCTGGGAGGATGAAAGCACTGACTCGAGCATCGACTAGCCAGGGCACTTCACTGTACAACCCACGTAGGGTTTCAAACGCCACTGCGATTCTGGTTGGGTAAGGGGGTACTGGGCGCATACCAAACCTGGATTGCTTAACTCCAAAAAACTTTATCCTTTATGCACCATGCTATGAGAATTGTTCCATTCAAGCTGCAATCATTACTGGTTTCAATCTGGAAGATCAACTTCGCGATGATGGTTTCCTGATCAAAGAGTTGAGATTGATACTTGAGAGGCAATTGTACAAGGATTTTGGAAAGTGAAAACAGGTGCTCGCATTTTTTCCGTTTTTTTCTCACATTCGCCCACAAAATTGACTTTTATTTTTAGCTCTTCTATGGTGCCGATGACAATAAATCTATGGAAGTTATTATCAGGAAACTGACAAAGAATGACTTTTACAAACCATATGAATAGAATTTTCGGGTTATCAGATTGAAATTTGTTTTATTTGAAATTCAGTATTGAACACTGTTTTTGATAGCGGAAACCCACGTACAGGATGCTATAAAGTTATGTCCGCTCTTGTAATACAGTATTTAATGACTATCAGTCACCTTATTAGGTAGTTGTATAATAACTTGTAAGAATTCATTTTATTTACTTACAACCTACAACAGACTACATAAAGTCCTTTCTGAAGCTTCTCGAATGTTTTATGGAAATATCTCTTAACTATATGTCACATCCTATATCTCAGTGCTCAGGGACCAACTCGACAGGCAGGCCACACTGAGCAGCCTTACCATCTCATGATAAGGGGTGTGGTGCGTTAGGAATGAAATGGTCGCGTCGCGGAGGGAGGGGCGTCGCGCGCGAAGGAATGTAGCAGGATGCAGCAGTAGGTAAGAAATACAAGAACAAAAGTACTAATAGCAGAATTATGCATAAAATAATGATCGCATATCGATTGAGCTGTATGAAGAACGCTAGAGCTGTAATAACGGCGAAGCGAATGGTGCGCGACAGCCGCGTGCGGCGAATCGATTACCCAAAATCGTTCCTAACGCCCGTCTCCCCATAATAAGGACTACGAGTGATAAGGACTTCTTACGTGGACAATGGAGAAATCAGGCAATTTGGGGCTATTCTCAGCAACATAGTTTGCTCGCACGCTGGCGCGTTACCGTAAGAAAGCACCATAGATTGGTTTCAGGGAGGGAAATGGGTCAAAGTTCTATTGCAACCGCCAGATTAATTTTCAAGTTAACTCCTTTGTAGACCTTCTTGCTGACGAAAACATTGGCGTCATACTACTACCACTACACAGAATTCTACTGTAAGAACTAGTCTTGAGCCTTCGGGTGAAAAACTTCCGTGGAATTTCTGCCCGAAAGATGTTGTGAGGTTTTTCCCCTTTTCCGAGGGGAGCTTTGGGGCTTTTCGCATTTTACACTTCGCCGCCTATGAGATTAGAAAATGAAGTACCGTTTTTTGAAGTGAAGAGACCTTCACAAGCACGTCCTTAACGACTCATCAGATCTGTAAATTTGCTTACAGAGTTTCTCGACCATTGCGAAGCACATTGTGATCAGCTTGAAAACTAGTTTATCTAATAATTCATAGCTTGATATATTTAACCCTGATGGAGAGAATATGAGAACCAACGTCAGCAACGACATCTATCGCTGGGGTCTGAGCCTTGTGCAGTTTTAGGGCTGCCACTCGCTTCGTACGGTTACAATCATTTGCGTGACATTTGAGATTTATCAAAATGCAAGTTCTTCCGTAAAAACTTCCTTTTAGAACTGTAAATAGTGAGTAGCAAACGAAAGGAAGATAGTAAGTACATTTTGTTTTAAGATAAAACTTTCAAGTTTCTCATTTTCGAGACGCTCTGAACAACTGCAGTTTTATCTTTGAGCGATTAATAGATTCTTTTAATTTACAGGACTGCTAATCGGAGAAACCCGGATGAACACTAATAATTTCTTGTTTAGTCTTCTTCACACTTCTGTTATCAGTTATTGATCTCGTAGTTATCTCCAAATTCCTAACTCGAAAACGAACTGCGATCTACAAACTCACAAAAACAAATTGGTTTCTTGGGTTTCTTGGAGTCCCGTCCGAGAACGGAGTTTTGCCCGCAAATCGCCATCCCTGTGAAAATGGTTTCTCAATAACAAGGCGACACTTACAGAAAAACATCCTGAGAATCTGAAAATAATACTTCTTCCGAAAATCGATGTGAATGGGGGCATATGTACATGACAAAAATTAATGAACTCATAATGGCAGCACCGCACTGTTCAACATTCTGGAAACGCTGCCTCAGAGAAAGGAAAATGGCTCGCGGGCATGGAAAAAAGCCGCTTTTAAGGTGACCCTGGATTCTTTCCGAATTCTGA